AGAGAGAGAGAGAGAGAGAGAGAGAGAGAGAGAGAGAGGTAAGTACAGATCAGAAGGAAGATGACTCAGTATCTGATGCTGCAATGGGTCAGTGTTCTGGGATAACCATATTTAACTGAGATCATTGCTCATCCTTCAGCACCAGCTTTAATTGGGTGCTGCTGCTACCTGGAACACAGGGCCTCAGCCGAGGGGTTGAGAGGAAATTGCCCGAGGCCTAGAACAATATCTTAGCTGACCCGAGCGCATCCGGCTGTGCACAAATGCAGCTCAATTAATTAAACAGTTAAGCCCACAGTCACAATGCAGAGTACAGCCTCTAACTGTGGAAAGTGGAAATAGGTGTTCACTGTAAACAGGGTAAAACTTGGCATGAACTTCTCACAAACGTGTTTGCCACACAGAGACACAATAAGGAACAAAAGCTCTGTAGAAAAAAAAATCAAAGACTCCAAACCCAGGAAGCATTTGGGTACAGACTGCAGGTTTCCAGTAAGAGTCAAGACAAAATGTGTTTGTATGAGTGTAAAACAAAGGTAATATACAGGTTTGATAGACTTTTAGTATACTTCAGGTTGAACGAGGAAAAAGCCAGTTGTGTTAAGTCCCTATTGGCTAGCAACTATGAAACACATGTTTCCCTGCCCACAGGATCTGAAATCAGGTACAAACTGTTTTTAATTTGTAAATATATGAGTTTAAAAAATGCATGCATATATTTTCTCTTTCTTTCTGTCTTTCAGATATATCCTGTGGTGTGTAACATGTACTATTGAACAGCCCACAGGTCCAGTGTGGTACAGTGGCCAGAATGTCAGGACCGAGGTTCAAACTCAGGTTCTCGCAGGCTAACCTACCCTCTAGAGTTATTGTGAAACAATATCCATAGCCTTTCATCTTTTACCTGATTCTGACATGAATTGTTGCTTGCAAGTTCTTAAACTCTGCTCCAAGAGTATAAAGATAGATGGCAGAGTGATTTTTTTATTTGTTCGTTTTATTTGCAATATTTTTACCCTGCCTTTCTCCCTAAAAAAAAGACCTAAGGCAGTTTAAAAGACAATATTTGAAGCTAAAAACTAAGTATAGAAATACAAAACAGGATCAAACAAATACTACTCCAAGAAACAGTAAACAAAGTAATACCAAAAGAATTATCAAAGCAGTGCAGCACAACAGACAGCCTTTCACTCTGGGAAAGCTTGCCTTCACCTGCTTGCAGAAGGACAGCAAGCATGGGGCCAGCCTGACCTTTTGTGGGAGGGAGTTCCAAAGTCTGGGAGCAGTAACAGAGAAGGCCCTCTCCAGTGTCTCCACCAAACATATCCCTGAAGGTTGTCGGACAAAGAGAAAGGGCTCTCCTGATTATCTTAATACCTAGGCAGGCTCATAATGAGAAACTCTGTGGTAGCTTGGGGCCCAAACCATTCAGGGATTTACAGGTTAGAAATAGCACTTCGAATTGTGTCTGGAAATGGATCGGCACCGGTGGAGCAGGTTATGTGATCCCTGTAACCAGCCCCAGTTTTAAGATCCTGACTGCTGCATTTTGGACCTGCTGAGGTTTCTGGACACTATTCAGAGGCAGTCCCATGTACAGCGCATTACAGGTGGGATGTAACTAAGGCATGTGCCACTGTAGCCATATCAGAACTCTCCAAGAACAGATGCAGGCGGTTGGACTAGTTTTAATTGTGCAAATGCATTCCTGGCCACTGCCAAAACCTGGGCATTTTGGCTCAGAGACAAATCAGGAGTTTTTGAACTCTAGTCCAAGAGTATAAAGACAGATGGAACTTGGTGGGTTATTTTTTAAGTGTCTAGGGCTTGAGGCCTGAGTAGCTATAAAAGACCAGCTTCTTATATTCAGTTCCAAGAAAACAGCAGGACACTGCAACAAGGAGTTCCACAGATGAGTTAAGGACCTAAGAATTATTCCAACCAGTCTCTTTTGAAAGCTCAGAAACAAGTAGCTGATAGAAGGAATTCAGAAATTCTCATTTTCCTAGCAGTCAAAGATGGAGATTTTTTTAATGCTTGATCAATATTCTGCATACTACATGCTGACAGGCCCAAGCCTATTCTGTTATTTATAAGGGGCCTGAGTACCCCTTCCATATTTATTCAAATAAAAATACTGAAAAAGTGTAATGCATGAGTATACTGAGAAAACACACAGAATTCAAGGGAAAATTGGACAGCCATCTGTCAGATCTGCTTTGATTTTGATTCCTGCACTAAGCAGAGAGTTGGACTCAATGGCCTTACAGGGCCCTTCCAAATCAATTATTCTATGAAACTGAGTTTAGCATTATGGAACAAATTAAGGATGAAGGAGACCCCGGAAATCCCAGGGTGACTGCAGGGATGCAAATGAGCAAAATACTTTTTAAATTTTTTTTTTAAAAGTCACAACCAATTCAGCCTTACAATCTTTTAATTTTTTTTAAAAAAGTCACAACCAATTCAGCCTTACAATCCATGAATCAAAGGGCTTAATCTCACACTCATAGCAATAGTACTCCATTTCCCTGGATTACTGAACAAGCTACCGTATTTCCCCGAAAATAAGACACGGTCTTATATTACGTTTTGCTCCAAAAATGCATTAGGGCTTGTGTTCAGGGGATGTTTTATTTTACAGTCATGTCATCTTCTTCTGGTTGCTGCACAATGCTGCACAAGAGTGGAAGGTGGTGTTTCACTTCATTGGGGCTTATTTTGGGGTTAGGGTTTATATTACCAGCATCCTGAAAAATCATACTAGGGCTTATTTTCAGGTTAGATCTTGTTTTCGGGGAAACAGGGTACATTTTGTTTACTCAGGAACAATACTTAAAAATACTGTATAACTCAGAGCTTCTTAAAATATTTGATCTAAACCAGAAGTTTGCAGGTGTTGCTTCCGCAACATGATGATAATGCAGCTTTTGCTATTTCTATACCATTCCACCATGCATAGCTGAATATGAGGTTATACAGTATTCGAAGTGCCCATAATCTGTATATCAGCAACGATGGTCTGTTCTGTTTGCAACATGTATTTAGCCTGCAGTGCCCTACTCAGTTTTGAAACATAATACATAGTTCCTTTTCAGGTCGCATATATGCTACATATACTGGTGATATGTTCCATTTATTAGGCAATGGGTTCCTAATAAATAAGGACAATTAGAACATATGCTCTTCTTCCTCTCCACTTGTCTTCATCTTCTACATCAGTTGAAAAGTAAATGAATGTTTGAATAAAAAATGCAGTCAAATAACGATTTTAAATGAACAAGAGAGTTGAGCGACTTTTTTAATTAAAATGTGACCCTTTGTGAAAGCTCAGTATCAGAAGGTATGACTATTTCAAACACAATGGCTCTTTTCAGACACAAATTAGAAAGCTGTACTAATAAGACTTTAGTTATGCAGGTCTTTTCATGGATCTATTACTTACTGAGATGAGATGGATATAAATAAAATATGTGTTCATGACAGCTAATTTTCTCTACAGTTTTGTGCAAGTTTACCTGGAAGCAAGTTTACCTTGAGTGAAGGAGGTGGTCTATTTGAATTAAGCATACATAGAACTGCAGTTTTACTGTGTAAAATGGGTAACAATACACAACCATATTATTACTCTGAAATTGCATGGAAAGAATATTTTGTTTTATTCTCTGGACTTATTCTCTTTCAGAAAGAGTTTTCTGCAGGACCTGTAAAAACATGCTGCTGTTAAGACCAAGTAAAAGAATATCATTCACTACAATACTCTTCTTTGATTAATTTTCTGATTTTCTAACTCGAGAAACAAACATATATTTAGGTACCATAGAGGAGACAACGGTTTGTACCTACATCCCTAGGTATAACATAACAGTTATATTTGTAATTGCTACTTTTTTAAAAAGGAGACTTTTGTAATGTACTTTTAAATGTCAAAAGTCCATTCGAGCTGTGCCGTTTTAAATGCCGACTGCATTACTTTTTCTTTCTTAAGGCTACTGGAGCGTAATTGTATGGCACACAGTTCTGACTGCCAGCAGAGGGGCATAGAAGGGTAAGGGAGTTTTCAAAGAGAAATATAACAGCTGACTTGCCACATTCTAAGCATACAATGCCTGAAGTGGCTGCCTCACTCTGCTTAATGACACGAGGGTGTTTTTTTCTTTTGTTTATTATTTGAAAATGAATAATATGAATATTTATAGTCATTGGTCCAAGCACAATCGTACATAGGGACAATCTGGGGGATTATGATGTTAGGTCTTTAAGAAGAAGAAATGTAATTAACAATTGGTTAGTGCAGGTAGAGTTATTTAGTTACTGCCTACGTGACAAGAAGGACACAGCCGTGTGGAATTAACTACCATGAGGTGAACCACTAATATGATTGGTTGCAGGTAGTATAAATTAAGAGGCTGATTAGTGTGCCCTTCACAGTTCTATTTTGACTGTCATGCTTATGTTCTGTCCGTTTGATTGCTGAATGCCTATGTTTATGTTCCTGTGAGCATTATGTAATGTACAGCAAGTAATGTACTCTGCACTTATTCCTGGTGCCTTCCTCGTGTGCCTTATTATGCTCGAACCTCTGGTCAAAACCTTTGTAAGGATAAAATCTTCTGCTGTGACTTTAAACTGCTAACATACAGTACTTAAGTTATTTGAAAAAGTCATATCAATGTAACTGCAATAAATGTTAAATGCCTACAAGATATTAAATTAGTTTTTTAAAATTCAGATGTAAGGTAGCGTTCACACAATCTTGCCTTAGAGCACTGGTTCTTAACCTTGGGTTACTCAGGAGTTTTGGACTGCAACTCCCAGAAGCCTTCACCACCAGCTCTGCTGACTGGGGTTTCTGGGAGTTGCAGTTCAAAAGCATCTGAGTAACAAAGGTTAAGAACCACTGCCTTAGAGAACCAAGGAAATTCAGTAATCCCCCATTAGGGAGATATTTAGGAATTTCACAAGCATGAATGGCTGCGAAAAATTTGCTTCATCCTTACCTTCTCCTGGTGGAAAGATTTTCTTCACTTTCGCTCATCACTAAGACTCTGCTGGAACCTCCCTGGCTGGCTTCGTGCATCACTTCGATCTGGAAAATGGTTTGGAAAACACAACAAAAAGGATTCTAGCTAAAGGCTCATTTATTTGCAGTACAGGACTTTGCATAATAACGACTCAGAAAACGTGTAGCAGCAGGTGATTTACCTCCAAAATATGGAGGCACTTTCACATGCTATTAAATGTTTACTCATCCATCTCTTGTTATGACCACAATGAATATTCATGCCCAGGAAAGTAACTATTGCTAACATCTATGTACAGTACTTATACTTCATACCATGTCAAAATGTTTGGTCCCTCTAACCTCGTATGGTTGATTCTGACTCGATGTCCCACAAAGTATTTCCCAAAACCTGCTCCTCAATTCTTCTAACTTGCATAGAGAGGTTGTACATACAAAGCATGTGCACTATTGCTAAACAGAAGGAGCCTGCTACTGCCTCTGAAGATGGCACTGGTGGCCCATACAATTAGATGGGGCCGGCTTCCCTGCCAGGAGCCTGCTACTGCCTCTGAAGATGGTACTGGTGGCCCACAGCAGTGACAAAGGAGATGGGCAGACTATCCTGTTTTGCCGAAGCAATGCAAAGCGCCAAGCGGATAAAGGTTTGGTGCTTTGTTTTGCTTCAGCAAAATGGGATTCCTGAACCAGGTCATAACTGAACCATAAATGAGCCTTGTTTGTCCATTTTTCCTGATTCATGGTTCGGTTCTTGCCCATCTCTAGCCTAAATCCAACTGTTTATCCCTACTAGAGTAGGCCCACCATAAACAAAGACTGAATCTTTGGTCATGGTGGCAAGCAACGATAAGTGTGGTCAAACACATCTGGTGGTCATTAGTTTGGGGAACTATGCTCTAGAAGCACTGCACAATGAAACAGTAGTGATGGTATCTCCAGTGACAGCTGTGCTGATAAATAACAAACATGGCCTTCCTACCTTAATTCCACCTTTAGTCTTCTTTACACTTTTCTTTTTAGACAAGTCTGCATCGGAGATGGATTTTGGAGGACTAGAAATTTCTACCGATCTCCTATTGGTAGCTGAAACAAGACAAACAGTCTCCATTTAGATTAGGCATCCTTCAGTCTTGAGAGACTACGGTAACGTGCTCTGTATGGAGGACTTGGAACAGCATCTAGTGTGGCTGAGAAGGCCAATTCGAGAGTTACAATCCCAGACAATCCCTTCCACACTGAAGACAAACATCATGAAATGAAGCACTGTAAGTAAAGGTCCCAGTGACATCAAGAGGGAAGGGTTTAGTCATTTCAGAGCCTACACAGATGTATCTTCACAGTATGTCACAGAACTTATATACAAAGCAGATGGGAAATGGAGTCTATTGAACTAAGAAAAAGTAATTGTCTCATAACTTATATAACTTATTTGGCATAATTGTAATTTTTTATTTATTGCATTCTTTAAGCAGTTTTTTTTTTTAAAAAATGCATGTAGCTTTAGATCTTGCAAGGGATGAAAGGTAGGGTACAAATAAAAGCTTTGTTTGTGCTTGAAAAATTAATATATTCCGTCATGGACAGAATGTGTAAGCATCACTGAGGAGTGACACTGATCTACAGGCCAAACTACGTATCACTGCAAAAATACATTTTTGGCATTCCCCATAGGTTTTGCAGTAAATTATTTATTAAAGAACAGATGAACCTGCCCACGTCTTAAGAACATGAAGAGAGACCTTTCCTTCAGGCCCATCACTGTTTTATGAATATTTGCTGAAAAAAACGAGAGAACGCCTTCTTGGTAGCTTTCCTCCGGCTATGGAATCCTCCCTTCGGAGGGAGACTAGTCTACCTCCCTCCTCTGCTCTCTTTCCGCTAGCAGGGAAAGACATTTTTATTTAGTCATGCCTTGGCCATCGACGGACTCATGGGTGGGCACTGTACTGTTTTTTTTTCTATCAAAACTGAGTTTTAAATTGTGCTAATTCTATGCAGTCTTATTGTCATAACTGGCTGGATAGCTATGCCCTTTTAAGTATCTGGCTGTGGAGCAGAAGCGAGTTGGATTCCCCACTATGCTTTTCTGCGAGTAGAGCCATCCTGGGTGGCCTTGGGCAAGCTGCACAATCCCAGGATGCTCCCACAAGAAGGGAATGGCAAGCTACCTTTTGTGAGGTTTGTCTACCTGGAAGCCCCTGAATAAGGGTGAGCCTACGCTAAAATGGACTTTATGGCACATGATGATGATAACTTATTAAAACAGAATTTTATTTCTTATTCATTGCGTTCTTTAAACTATTCTGTAAAATTCATGTTGCAAGTGGCCTTGGATCTTGCAGGGAGGAAAAAAAATAACATGAAGGGAAGGAGATTTTTTTCCCTCTGTGCCATCATACTGCTAAGCAAGCTGTTCTTTATGCTGGAGGGCAGTGGTGTGGGAAGAAAAGAGTTTAAAAGTTCACCTCTGCTGTGGTTCTGATCACAGGCATAACCACCTTAAGCTACCAATTAAAACTGGATGGATAAAGCATGAGGTTCACACAACGTTCAGTTTCGTTTTTAGCAGCTGGTTAAGTTGCTGAAGAAACAGCAGCTTAGACAGTGTATTCTTGAAGGCTTTCACAGCCGGGATCCGACGGTGGTTGTAGGTTGAGGTCCATCAACTATCCCACAAACTGCACCAGAGCACAGACAGAGTTCTGACTCCTGTCCTCTGAAGAGGCCGGCCACAGAGACTGGAGAAATGTTAGGAAGAAGAACCTCAAGAACACGGCCAAACAGCCCGAATAACCTACAACAACTTAGTACTCAGAAATATCTATGTGAAATATTCAGTGATTTCTTTCGTAGGAGAGCTGTTCAAATGCTATAAATTATGAAAAAGAGTTTGTAATATTTATGTTGCAGATTCCATTGTACAATAGTCAGTCTATTTATGTGAACTCCACATGGCTGACAAACATGCCAACAAGACACTAAGTTGATGCTGCTAGAAAAACACTACCCATAGTTTCCACTGAGCATCCTCCATGGCTAATGTCCAACAGAAAGAGCAGTATCAATAGCATAAGGTTCTGTTACCAAATTCTCTTTGTTTCCAAGGCCCTAGCAAAATTAGATATAATGTTTTTATTTTTTTGCTCAATTTTTAAAAAACTTTTTGCTGCCTCTTCATCCCAATATGTCTTGCTAGGTATAATCTGATACTTGCATTCCATCTTCATCCCCGATTTGAAGCCAAAGTTTAACTGCAGAACTCCGGACTACAACATCTGGCCTATTTTGGATTTTTGTTTTATTTCTTTTCCATTTCCTTAATTTTATACCAGCCAGCCTGATTAAGAAGTTCTAGAGAGCTTGGAAACTTACACAGTTTGGGGGCATTTTGTCTCATAAAGTTCTTTCAAAACTGCCATTTTAAAATTTCTACACACAGTTTCCTGAAAATGTATTACTGTATGTCCTTTAGACATAAAAATAACATTTTACAAATAAAGTATAAATATAAACAAATCAGATTTTTTTCCTTTTAAATGCAGGGGCACACAATAGGTTTTGCTGGATAAAAGCTAGTCTAGCATCCCATTTCCTCAAATATCTGAGTTGAAAAAGTTACTCTTTTGGACAACAAAAAAGTGACGAAACTGGCAGAGGCTAAACAAACAACTTTTCGCACTATACCAAAGAACCACCCAGATGCTTCTGAAAATTAAGTTGGAGGATAATTCTTACTTTACTTCTAATCCACTGAGTCCCAAATGTAAGCCCCCAGATGTTCTTAGACTACAATTCCCAGGAAACCTGACCATTGGCTCTGCTTGTAGGCTTTATGGAATTGTAGTCCAAGAACATCTGGGCTTGGAAATTGCTATCCTAGCCAACCATATTCAGAGATCCATTGCCTCTGAACTGGTAAGAGATGATGGTTTATAGCCCTAAACAGATCTGTCTCCCTTTTAATCTCCCTTTAATGCAACCTAAGCCAATGGCCAGCTCCTTATCTCATTGCAGCAAACAGCATAACTTATTTATGCATTAATTGTAAGAAACCAAAGGAACAGCGAAGGTATCAAGGGAGGTGGAAACTACTGTTCATCTGCACAGGAAAGGATACCGGAGATGCTGGCAGCAGTTTGCTTTATGATATGTACATCTGAAATGAATTAAACAAAAGATTCCAGTGGCCCATGCCACTTAATATAAATATGAGACGCTCATTTTCATCAGTGAAATGCAATACGATGAAACTCCTGCCGGTGCCGAGTAGCTGCTCTGGGAAGGAACTGCTCGGCATATGTATAAATACAAGGATGAATGAGAAGCTGTTAATCTGTGCAGTGGAAAATAGTGAGAAAATGCTGCCGTTTGAGCATCTGGCGTGTATCCTGGACTTTCCTTTTAAGAAGTGAACAGAGTTCATGTTCAAAAACAAAGAAACTCTTTTCACCTCCTCCTTCCAATCATATCCCTTTAAAAATCTGCTCCTGCCATGATGGGGGACACTTGGAAATGATATGCAGTATGTGTTCTGCGTGGCAGTGGCGGCGGAGACATTGATGGGAATTTTCCTCACCCACTGAAAATGAAGGCACAATTTAAAATCTCTAAATTGAGAATGAAGTGTCCTGACACTTTTAAGACTATGTTTTCATTAAGAGCTTTCATTCCACTGAAATAAAACCAGGTCAAAAGTCCTGTCCATTTTTGCAAAAGGCAAATCTGTCCATAACTGGGCTCCTATGTGATTCCCCCTCATGGTCTCTGGCTTATGATTACTTTGGATAGAGCTTTCTGCTTGTGACTACTCCAAAGAGTTGCTTTGAATAGTGCTTTCTACTAACACAAGGCAAAAATGGATTCCCCATTGCACTAACAGTGGAAATAGAAGAACACTGTCACAATACCTTGTTTTGTTTTTACTGTACATGTGAAAACAGACTAACATGTTGGCCTTTATTATTTTTTTGAAGAACTGCTCCAATTTAGAATCTCAGCCTTTCCTTTTTTTAATTTAATTTTTCAAATTGGCCTTCATGGCGACAACTACTTGTCCGCAAAAAGGATGAAATAAAACAAAGTGTATGGTTTGAAAGAAAGCCTCCTTCACAGCCTTGTTGTTTAGTCCTTAAGTCATGTCCGACTCTTTGTGACCCCATGGATCAGAGCACACCAGGCCCTCCTGTCTTGCACTGCCTCGCATGTTGGTAGCTTCAATGTCACTGTCCAACTATCTTATCCTCTGTCATCCCTTTCTCCTCTTGCCTTCACATTTTCCCAACATCAGGGTTTTTTCCAGGGAGTCTTCTTTTCTCATGAGATGGCCAAAGTATTGAAGCCTCAGCTTCAGGATCTGTCCTTCCAGGGAGCACTCAGGGTTGATTTCCTTTAGAATGGATAGGTTTGTTCTCCTTGCAGTCCAGGGGACTCTCAAGAGCCTCTTCCAGCACGACAATTCAAAAGCATCAAATCTTTGGTGGTCAGCTTTCTTTATGGTCCAGCTCTCACTTCCATACATTGCTACTGGAAAAACCATAGGTTTGACGATGCGGACCTTTGTTAGCAAGGTAATGTCTCTGCTTTTTAAGACGCTGTGTAGGTTTGTCGTCGCTTTCCTCCCAAGAAG